AACATATTGCATATTTTATAATAATTCTAAATAATTAATTGTTAATTGTTAATATTAACGTATAATGTATATTGTGTAATTAAAATTAATTAGTGATTTTCAGTTAATATTTGTTGGTCTTAGCTATTGATTTATAGATAATACATTTAGCATCCGATCAAACAATTAGAAATAAATTATTATACACTTGTCTTACAATGAATATATCCGATGAAATACATCCATGGGATATAAAGGATTAACATCTTAACCTCAAACCTAAGGTTTCAGATGTTGAACATTTATCGGATCCTTAGCTTATATAAGTTGGAAATACGATCTATAGGTTATATTTTGGAATACAAAAATATAGGATTTTTACTTGTAAAAGTCTTGTAACAATCGGTATTGATCTAAAAATAAAATACCTTCAACAGAATCGAAGGTTAGTTGAAGTGATGTCAAGATCGTCACTGAAGTGGATTGGTTTGTCATCTAGCTAAAAAAAAATTAATATAAGATAAAGTCAAATGGTAGTCTGGCAAATGCTACTACTAGCAAGCCGGATTTTGAAGTGCTAACTTGTCCAACAAGTTTGGCTTACCAACCCTTACAACACTCATCTTGGCATGAGAGCATGCACAACATGTTAGCCAAATTAAGTTCTTAACACTATTTCATTAGTATCATAAAATATTGTTCCCTCGACATACAAAAGGATGGAATAGGTTAACAAATGTATACATCGACTACAAAGACTAAAATGAATAGTACGAGCATGTGTAGATCAACAAATCAGATGAAGACACACGTTAAAGTTGGACAGTAACATTTAATGCAATGGTGGCTATACAAGGTCACCCTTGTCATTCATTGTTACTCACGCATTTTAAAAGAACTTCAATGTAATAATTTCTTAAGCAAAATCGACATCAACATCTAAAGAACTATCTTAGTCTTTCGGATCTAAAAGAGTACCTTTTATCTAAAGATTAGTCCTTCTGGTCTGAAAAAGTACCTTTTTCTCTTGCTCTTCCAGTGTTAGAGAATGTGTCACGTCAAATTGTTTAAGGTCACATATCTTACCTTTCTACCTTTCGTAACTATTCTCTAGGGTTTTCGCATAACCCCTTTTTCGTAATAAATTCATGTTTCTTGATTATAATTATGCAGCGGATGATCATATATGGAGTTAGTTCATCTAGTTTGGATTCTTGTAGTGGGAGTTTGAGTGGTTTTGTTATTTTTTTTGTTGCATTTCTCCGATTCAATTGATGTAATAATGCATCATCTTCAACGATTGACAATGAAGCGGCATATCTTTTCGATAATCATAATGTTTTTGTTCATGGTGGTCGTAAAAGACACTATCCAATTCAATTGGGATTGAGTATGGATGATGGGGAAGGTTATGACGATATTTAGGAGAGAATGATGATGGGTTTACGATAACTCTCATTTTTTTAGAGTTATTTCTTATTTATTTCCTCCATTTTTGCAATTATTAAATACCACATTTCCTTGTTTTTCCCCGTTTATTCTAAAAAGTTTTAAAAAGATGATGAAACACAAAGGAAGAAATTTTAATTCGAAAACTTGCATTTTCTGGCGACTGGCCACAGTGTCACCACTGTGAGATGTTCACGAATTTTGTTGTTTTCTGCTTTTTGGAGGATGAACTGCTTGAAGATTCTGCCCATAGATTTCCTCCGGTTGTAGTTGGTTGTAGAGTTGTACCTTTATATTATTTTAAGTTTTTATTTTCTTATTTTCTTTTGGATAAATGTTTTGTCCTTATCCATTCCCCCCTATTTAAAGAGGCTTTGGGGCTCACTTGAAGATCATCTCTTATCCCTCATCTATCTCTATTATTAAGCTCTTATCATCCTTAGAAGTAATTTTGCTAAAAGTTCTTCTCTTTTTCTCTTAGTTTTAGCTTAGCATTTTATTTTCTTGTATTAAAGTTGTAATCTGTTTGTAGTTTTATATTAATGCAAGTTACATTTCAGTCTTATTTAATATATTCTATTATGTTTATTATGTCTATTATGAGCTAATTTACTCGTATGAGTGTGGGTGTAAGTTTAACTTAGGATTTTTACACAATATTTGGGTGTTTTTACTCTTTACCACTTCGTAACTTAGTCACTTAAGACGAGACTTAAACTCGACGCGGATAAGCTAATCACTTTGAAGTGTTAATATTATATCTTAGACTCAGAGATGAGCGGATCTAAAATATGGCTTAAGTGATGCACAAAGAACTCGAGAGAGTCTATGATAATTATGTAGAGATGTGAATTTTGTATGTATTTAACAAAGGATTAAGCGATGGTTATTCTTATCACAAAGAGATTTGGGTATGGATTTTATTTCTTCTTCTTTTAAGCTAAATCGACAAGTTTTGAAGTGGTACGCGTGGGAAATTTATGGAATTTTATGGCGACCGTTTGTAAATTTTCACTTTTGAGAGATTGAAATTTTTATAAACAACTCATAAGACTCTAACAATTCTATTGTTAATCTTATCTTAAGGAACACTTACACTCATGCCCATTTCATAGTCTAAAAGTTTATTTCGCTATTTTAGTCTTTTTAAAGTTTTTTATAAAGAAAAATCCAACTTTATTCGCAAACCGAAACACGAGCAAGAAGTTCATGAAAGTCTCTGAATCTCAGTAGTCCAGTCCCTGTGGAAACGATCTCGGTATTTTACCACTTTATTACTTGCAAGCGATCATAGTGTCGGCGTATACTTGCATCGCCACTATGAGGACTTTGTGTGCATTGTGTGAACACGAACAATCTTAGCCTGTCTCATCATGATTACTCTCCGCCGGTGCAGCCACCACCACCACCACATCCATCGTCGGCAACTTGTGAGGATGACCTTGGCGAGAGTGGGTCATTAGATACTAATTGGAAAAAGTGACAAAAAAACCTCCTAAAACACAATTCCAACAAGCATTTCAATAAACTCCTAAAATGCTTTTTGATAACTAAACATATTGAATAATAATTAAAAAAAATTACATATATTTATATATATAAATAATTGATATGATTAGTAATTATTCTAAATAATTAATATTAATTTTTAAACCCATAATCAAGTTGTATGAATAAAAACTTCAAGAAATCATCAATGGAGAAACCATCTATATCATTAAACTTGAGAGAGATACAATAGAGATACGTTTACATAATGAAAGATCTAACTCAAAGATAACAAAACACAAAAGTAATTATACCCAAAGGATATTTTACAAAAAAAGCCCTTCAACTTGAATACAATTACAAAATGAACCTAAAATTCTC